TACGTATTCCGGAGCCCATCTTGAATCTCGTACTACAGCCATTGGTAACAAATTTTGTGCCTGGTCTATTTCCAGAGACCTACAACCTGACATCTCCAGATGACAGAATAAATATACAAACTGTCTTACGAATTTTTAAGTTTTTATAAGTTGCAGCCGAGTTTGAAACACGCAGAGATTAGCAATGTTTCGTTCCCAGTTCTTAGTCTCTGTTACATTGTATGGATGTTCAGATGATTCCGGTTAATTGGGCCAAAGTGTTATAGTCCTGATGTGTCCCGATTAACCGGAATCCACTGTATACGGATTGTGGTGGATGAGCCCCGTTCTCATATGCCCCCGGGGCAGCTGCCCCAACTTACTCCACCGATTATTTTCACGTGTTTTTAATTTGCAAACAAATAAAGGGATATTTGGATACAAAGAAGAACTATACAGAGAAGAGCGTTTGATTTATTTGACGTCTTGTTTTATTCATTGACGAAATAAATCAATCTTTCCTTCCTTAAGCCCCTGATAAGAGGAAGATTGCTGTAGTTATGTGTCGCTGTTGATGGCTGCTGTAAACGCTGGTAAGATAACGCTTCGAACTGTTGTATGTTGTCTTATTTGGTACTTTCTTGTCAGGATAAGCGTTGCTAAATGCTTCGCGAACGGCACGCGACTATTCCGATGCGAAGTTAATATTTTGCTCGTGAATAACCCATGTTCCCACCTTAGCAATGTTTTGCGCAGCTGGCGTGAGCAACGGCCTAGCAAGAAGGGTGACCTTGACTCGATTGACACGGGGGAGGTTTGGAGAGAGTGGACTTACTTGTGATTTAATTTTTGTGTCGTAACACGTGATTCTTGTGGGGTTTCGTTTTTAAATGAGAAATCTTATAGGCCTGTTTAGGGAGGGCAACTCTTTCTGTCATTGAGGATAGCAACGAGGAAACTATGCGGCTGTTACCGTAATTATTTGTGTTTGAAAGCGGGTTTTCTTTGTTAAATTGCTTTAAATTTATCGGCACATCTTTGTTTGTTTTTCTTCTCTCTCTCTCTCTCTTTTATTTTTGTTTGCCCTCTTCCGTCTTATTTGTTTTTAGAGGACGTTATTAATTAAAATGACCGCGGGGTCCTGTGACTCATTAACGTTATTTACGTAATTCAGGGCTACAAGACGTTCCTTCGGGAGCGACCATCGCCCTGATGACACAATCAGTAAGCGCCTCTGAAACGATGGTGAGCTTCTACCAAACCGAGTGGTTAACACTCCTGCTTCGTATTCGGGAGGTCATAGATTCAAATCTCGGTCCGGAGACCGACTATCCTGATGGTTTTTTCGTGGTTTCCCTCAGTCCTCCCAGGCAAATTCCGGGATAGTACCTTAAATTAGGCCACATCTGCTTCCTTCCACATCCATTCCAATTCAATATCATCCTCTCATTCGACGCTGTATAGTCTAAGCCAGTGGTATTCAACTTTTTTTGTTCGCGTACCCCCAGATATAATTTCTCTTCAACTTTGTACCCCCCCAAATTCGTTGGTGTATAATTCAAGTTATACATAGTATATAATCTACATCTAAAATCAATTAAATAAATTACATTACCGATTATTCAGTGTTTATCATAAAATAATATATTTAAATTTCACGTACACCCTAAGATGTCTTCTCGTACCCCCGGGGGTACGCGTACCTCAGGTTTGTATACCACTGGTCTAAGCTACTGAAACGTTGTCGTTAAATAAACTACAAATATTCTAACAAACTACACTTCGCTGTAGCCAGAAGACGGTCATATTTAGGTCCGTTTATGTTGTTGCGATGTACATGCATGCTTCCAAGTCAGACGCGCCGTATTTTTTAATTTGACGTTATTCAGTAATAATCTTAGCAGTTGCTCTCAGTAATGTGGCATTAACGAAACATGCTTTCTGATGTCAGGTAACTTTCTTTTCGTGCAGAATGGCACAGTACCTATTAAAAAATGTTGGCCTTCCAAAACTCATCGACGGGCTGCGGGTTGAAAACCCTGAGGTGGACCTTTAAAGAATTTATCTGTAAGCACTTCCTTCTTGAGAAGCAAAAATGTCTAGAAATTCTCGGAGTTGATGTAACCACGAAGTTCAGTGCTGTTAAGGGACACAGACGACACGTAATGGTATTATGTTCCTCCTGTGTAGTGAAGTGGCCAGGGGTCTCTTTGTCCGGATTGACTGCAAACTGGTGTGGTGGCGTCGTTGGGTTTTGTCTGTGAGAATTAATTCTGGGACGTTTTGAAACTTTGGTTCGACTAGAGAAAGGCCTCGTCGTAGTACAGGTCATGACCTCCTGTGGAGTACAAGGCTGCCGTGTGATCGATACAAATTGCATTGTGACTGAGAAACGACAGACAGAATTTTGTATGTGTGCTTAGTGATTGATGTCATTATCACAGGCATTAATGATGGTTGGAATCGTTTCAGTACCTTTTGTTTGCATGTGGGCAAGTTCGGAAGGTCACAGCACATCATAGGCGTATGTATTCAAAATTTACTCTTTGCATTTCTATGGGTTTTATTTACAGCGGTGATTTGAAAAGTCAGTTAAGTGAAACTGTAGACTGGCACTGAATTTAAATTTAAATTTCATATTTCTGCACGTGGACACGTAGTGGCACGGCAGTTTTTGCATGTTTAACGCTATGTACTTCAGAGCCACTGAAACAATTACAGCAATGTCACTTATGTTAGCATTACAAACTAAAGTTCTTCTTTGGAGGACTCTGCTTGTCTTTTTACTGCACTATGGGAAGAACAGATTGAAACTTAAGAGAATAACAGTTCGACCTCAAAAACGAAAAGTAACAGAAGATTGGAACTAAACATCACGGGTAACGAGGAACTTGAAATTTTTATCAATAATTTTGATAATTAAAATAAGGGGGGTGAAATGGGCGGGGTATGTAGCAAGCGTAGAAGAGAGTACATGGTTTTAGTGAGAAAACCTGGGAATAGATCACGTGGAGACCTAGGTGTTGTTGGGAGTATAATATTAAAATGTTTTTACGGAAATAGGGCTTGAATGGGTGGGTTGAGTCTGTCTGGCTCAGGGTAGGTCCCAATGGCGGGTTCTTGTAAATACAGCAATGAACCTTCGGGTTACATAAACCAGAGGTATTCAACCTTTTTTGTTCGCGTACCTCCAGATATAATTTCTCTTCAACTTTATACCACCAAAGTTGTTGGTGTATAATTCAAGTTATACATAGTATATAATCTACATCTAAAATAAATTAAATAAATTACATTACTGATTATTCAGTGTTTTTCATAAAATAATATATTTTTTTAAATTTCACGTACCCCCAAAGATGTCTTCGCGTACCCCAGATTGAATACCACTGTCGTAAACAATAGAGCAGAGGTTCTCACCATTTTTCGCTGGCGTATCACTAATTATAATTCAACACATTAAATGTACTACTAACCAAATGCGTTCAGGGAAAACTTATTTATGTTAATATTATCTTTTGATTTTATTAGTTAGTTCGCGTACCACTCAACATTGGATAGCGTACCACCAGTGGCACGCGTACCATAGGTTGAGAAACGCTGCAATAGAGGATTTTTGAAAGCTCCCCAAAGAGGTCAATCGAAACTCCGTGTGGAGTAACTGTAACTGCTAGCCATCTTGTCACGGAATGCACTAAAAATTCTTGAATTTAGAGGTTATGTCTTTATAACTTATAAATCTAACAATTGATAACATTGTTATTAGCGCGTTTAAAATGTTA